GCCGGCCCAAAAATACCTTCCGCCACCGCGCAGCGTAAAGTCTGGAGCCGTCGGGACGCTATGCCCGTCACACTTATGCCATAGCTGCCAGCTAAAAAAAAGTTTCTTGAACTGGGATTTCAAGCCTCTGAGCCGACCTGCACGACGCCGAATCTTGACGATCCTGGATTTCTGAATGCGAGCGGATCGAGCACCTCCGGTCGAGAAATCGATTCCCAGATTCCTGACAGCATGAAAAGACCTGGAGCCCCACTGCTTAAGGCCAGCACAAACTTCTTTACCAAGAGCCGCGGTGCTGGCCACCGTCTGGCCCTTCTTGCGCGAGATGACAAGATCTGCAGCCTCTAACTTCCTGCAGAGCGCCTGGGTGGCCCTGACGGCCGTCGACTTGGCAAGAGCGTGGGTAGCAACGACCTGGACAGTGAAATCGTCGACGACGTTGTACAACCGACATAGACGATAGCTCCGAAGAAATTTCATCCAACTCTAACACAATCATGACCCTCAAGAGTGTAGTCGCATACCCACAACCTGCCAGGATAGTCGAATAGGCAACGGTGGGTCTCGAGACCCATCAACCAATCAACCACATCCTGGGGCAACGGTAGATCGCCAGGCACAGACCTGGCGCGCCTTGGAGACCAACGTCCTATGTCGAACCTTTCGTATGCTTTAGTGAGATCGATAAGGTTGTTGACGATGGAGAAACCGTTTAAGCTGGCGTGCTCGGCAGTGAACGCTTGCTCCCAAACCGCTCGCTCACATGATCGGCCCTTGGCCCCGTATATATATATATATATATATATATACCTTCGCTGGTTTTCCTGCTCCCAATTAGCTGCTACATACCTAGTACATCTGCTCCACAACCGTACCGTCATACTCAATAGGGCTATCAACCGATGTCCGTCATCATCAGGCTTAGGTCGAGCTGACTGTAGGGTTAGACTTATCTGAGAAGGAAGGGCGGCGTGCTGGAGCATCCAGACCCAGACCAGGTTGAGCGCTTCCAAGCATTCATCAGACAGCAGAAGAAAACCGCGGGGTCCTAGTCCATCTATGCCGTGAGCCGTCGAAGCCTTCATCTTGCGTGCAACAGTCCTGATCTCCGAAGGGGAATCATGTCGAACAGGGCATTCTTGGTCCTGAAGCAGTCCCCTGAGTTCCTCAAAGACTCGATCGGGATCCTGGAGAGGCTCTGAGTGATGCCCTGCTGATCCCCAGATAGACTCCCGTTCCTGCAGGTTCTGTTCTATGAGCTCAGCGGGTCCTGGGGGAGGCTCTCCTTTGCGAGGTGCCACAGGGCGCCAACCGAGGGGGTGACGAGTATATTGATGAGCTTTACCTCCTCCTGCCTGCACTGCCTGCTGGACAAAACCCCGCCACTGTGCCCGAGCCCGCGCCGACTGATGAGGGGGGGTCTGCTTGGGATTGTTCGCGGGCGGCCGTGGCTATTTCAAGGGCACTCGGCGGTCAATTGCGATGTTGAAGGGCCCGAGGTACAGCACTTGTACTCCAGCAAGGCCTGTGGGGCGCTGGTCGGCCAAGAGGACTCCACTTGCAAGGGCCTTGCGCGAGCCTGTCTGGGGGCCCAAGCAGCAAGGGTAAAGACCCAAAGGTCCTGCCTCTGCAGGCCCCTTCGCCCCTCAACCTCTCGCCCTCCTCCTGGGCGGTCTGCGTCGAGAGGCCTTGAAGATTGGGATATAGTCTGACTCCACGAAGGCCGATGGGGCCCAGTTCTGTGCCGTCTGGGGGCGGCGGTGTTGGGCCCTCGTTCGCGGCTGGGCCTTCGCCGGGACTCGCGCGCGGGCCGCCTGTGGCTCGGCCCTCTGTTGGGTCCGGGGACCCGTCAGATTCCACCAGACCGGGGCGTCTGTCCCCGTCCTGGACCTGGCCCAAGTTTCTGGGCGCCCGAAATGGGCACGGAAAGAATGGGTACAATTGCTAACAGCAGTTCCTGTACATTTTGAGCGGGACTCGCTGTCCGCGCCGCCGCGGCCTGTGTCCACTCGAGGTTGGTTTGGGGCAACATTTGTTGTTGGGCATTGCACCCATTCCTTCCGTGCCCATGTCGGGCGCCCAGAAAGTTGCTCGCCTGCGCGGCTTTGCTTCGCCCAGCACGGCGGTCGAATGGGCTCGGGAGTGCAAGCGGGCTGCGCAGGATGCCGAGGCCGTGGGGCTTTGGCAGCTGGAGGGCGCCCCGGCCCTGTTCGCCGCCGAAGCGGCAGGGGGACTTCCCGCCCATGACCCACCCCACCCCATCCCACAAGCTACTGAACAGGACGACGAGCTCGCCCAGACCGCGCCGGCGCTTCCTGGATCGGCGGCACAGGCTGGAGGCCTCTATAAGAGTTGCCTTACACCTGGGAAGAGGCGCGCCGCAGGCCTCCTGAACGAGAGGCCCCCTAGATGGGGTCTGAGCAGATGGGGTCGGAGGACGTCGCCGCGTCGCCGATGCATCGGCGACGCATCGGCCATGCACCGGCGACTTCGGCGATGCGTCGGCGACGTGGGCGTAGAGGGACTCGGATCCCACATCGAACATCGAGCTGCATCGCCGATGCATCGCCGATGCGTCCGATGCGGCGCGGTCTTACGACCCCGTCTACTCAACTCCCATCTGGGAGGCCTAGATTGACGGGCCGCGGGGGGGGGGGGCGCAGGGGGCAGAGGGGGGGGCCGGGGGGGGGGGGGGCGCGGAGGGGGAACGAAGGGGGAGGAACGCGAGGAGAAACAAGAGAGGGATCCCCGCAAACGGCCACTCCGCCAAGAGACGCCACGCGGCCAGTCGCGGGGGACAAAACAACCGCCCTCCCTCCTCGGTTGAGGGCGCGCCGCGGGGGCGAGGCGGGGCCTAAGGCCGCCCCCCCGCTGACGGCTGGCCGCGCGCGCGGGGCACATGGCGAAGCCAAAGCCAAGGCAACGTCGGACATCGGGGCGGCGCAAAGGCGGGGCGGGGGCGAAGGCGGGGTTGGAAGGGAAATCGTTCCGAGCGGCCCCTGGAAAGAGGAAGCGCGATGAACGGGGGCATCCAGCCAGGCCCGCCCCCGAGCCCCACCTTGGCATTGCCCTCCCTCTACCGAGCCCCGCGGACAAGGATAAACGAAGGAATACTGGCATTGGGTGCATCGCGCGCCGCGGTCATTCCAGAGCGCGCCGCGACGCCCTGGGGGCCTTCAGGGACCCGCTGGAAAGATGCACGACACATCATTCCGAAGCGTCCCGGGCCCGCCCCCGGCCCTTTCACGAGGGCGCCCTCTGCGACCGAACCGATAGCCGAGGCCCCCCCCCCATTTGGAATGATGGAGGGCGCGAAGCGAAACGAACGCCGGATCGCCCGCGCGCGCGCCGCCTGGGCGCCCGCGCGCGCCCGCTTGGGCGCTGCAGTGGAGGCCGCAGCGTCGACGCAGAAAATAACAACCTAGCGCTGTGAAACATAGGCGACGCCATGTCTCTTCTCCACCACTCAGCATGCGTTACAGCCCCGATCCATCTGAAGTCGCCGGCGTTTCTGCGTTCGCGTCTGTCGGACATGCGTGATCGGCATCGCAATCTTCTGAGGCGCTGGGCGAACGATGCCAGGGCGCTCACCTGGCGCCCGAAGCCATTCGGCGCGGCCTGCGCAAAAGGCGACGCATAGAACCATCCAGTTCTGAGCTGGGGGCGCCGGCGCAACGCCCGCGTGATATCCGACCATTGAAAAGCACCAGGTCAGCTCTGTAGCTTCCCCCGAGGACGGTGACGTCGTGGTTCCGCATCTCCGACCAGAGGTGCGCCACGAATTGCTCCGCCTTGTCGTGGCTGGTCCTCTGGGGCAGGTAAGTCTCGTACAGGTAGACTTGGAGTCGGTAGTTTTGCTGCCCGTTCCTCTCGACCATGCGCGCCACCGACCCTTCGCGGCTTGCGACGTGCCCTGGCTGTCTGGTATCTCGAAGCCCATCTCATTGGCTCGCCTCGTATTCCGGCTCCAAGCTTCGAGGATGCGCATAGCCTCCCGGTGACACGTTGCCACCCGCTGCGCTGTCAGGCTCTGCTGCAGGGCACTGCGGTCTTCAAGGGGCCCAGACGCCGCGTCTACCATCGCCTCGAAAGTATAGCCGCGCGGGACAGAGTTCCGCGCATGATAAACCCCCGACGAAGGGTCTCAGGAAGAGGTGGTTCCAGTAGTGGCCTGAGTCGCCGCTTAAGCTCAGCACGCGGAACACCTTCAGGCCGATAAACTCGCACTACGTTCCGCTGCAGGTAGGTCGTCGCCGGATGGCGTTTGTACGCCTCCTCCATTTTGCCCCATATGCTAGACCAGCAGGTCTCCCCTGCAGGTCCCAGAAATTCGACTCGCAGGGCCACGAAATCTTTTCAGATGGCAAACAATTCCGCTCGCAACCTTCTGCCCGTGAATTCCAAATTGGACACTTGCAGGCTCTTCACCGCATCCCATGCCGCACCTATTGCATCAACCAACAAAGGGCCGCGTCCGTCAGCACCTGCAGCAGGGGAGAAGCCGAATCAGTTGGGAGCACCGTCTGCCAACAATGGCCTGGCTTCGCCATGAGGAGGTCGTCGCCCGCCTGGTCGTCTCGGTCCAAAGTGAAACTCCGCGGGCCAACCCCAAAAACTGTCGCGCGAGCGATTCTCGGCGGCGTCCAGCGACCCTCCAAAATCTGGATGCCGATGTCGAGCTCCGCCATCTGCTCGCACACGCCGTGCGGCATGTCCTGGAAGGTGAGCTAGCCTTGGTTTGCCGAAGCTGATCGGCAATATCTTCAATCGCAGACCCCGCGCGGCTCTCCTTTCCCTCCTGCGGCACCGTCTGGTTTTCGTCAATAACCTGGAACACTGCAGTGTGAGACACCGCACCCTGCCCAGCAGAAGTGCCCACCGAGTGTGCCTCCCAGAACTCGTCATCCCCGAGGCTGGCCCCAGAAGGTCCGGCTTCATAGGGGAGACGGGCTGGCAGGAGGCCGTCTGGCCCCTCAGAGGGCGCAGTTCGACGCGCCAAACCCCACGCAACAACTGCTCCTTGCCACGCACCTCTGGCCAGCGCCCTCAAGCCCCGGACAGAGAGGGATCCAGCTGTTCCAAGACTGTTCCACGCGCCGTCGCGGCGGTCTCAAAGTAGTCGCCCGTGGCCGCAGCGAAACGCCTCGTTTCAAACGCCCGGCGTCGTTGCCGCTGCGCACGTGCCTGTTGGATTTGGTCCAGCAGCCACGCTTGCCGCGCCATCTGCGTTGCGCCGCGGTGGATCCTCATCTGGTCGTAGCACCTGGTGCAGAGGACGCTGCCCGAGGCCTGGCACGAGCAGCTCCAGTGGACGTCGCCGCCGCACCAGTCGAATGCACCCTGCGGCCCCGGGCCATTGCGGATTTGGCAGAACCTCACGGAGATCGGTTGCGACGCGAGGTTGGCTTCATAATCAGTACTATACCCTGCAGGGTCCATTTCTGTTGATTCTGCTTTGTAGGCTCTGCTCTCACCAATCTCGTTTTGCGATGTCAGACAAAAGACGTAACGTTTCTTCTCTGCTGACTGGCAGGGGTTCCCCGATAACTGTCTTCGGCTCTGTACCAAAGTGATTACACAGTAATCTATTGGTCGATACCGCTACTCGCTTGAACTGTTGAGGCGTATGAATAAATGTATCCTTGTTGTTGCCCATCGCGTGGACCTTGAGCCAAACAGCTCCGGACATTACATATACTCTTGCCGGGGCATTGCTACACCTGGTGGCGGCACACTCCTGCTAGGAGGTGGCGTTGCCACACACCTCCTGGCCAGCAAATAATCGATGCAACACAATGGCAGCAAGCCCGACTTCGTGAAATTAGTCACGTTGTAGTCAGACCTGGACGCCAATGACTTTTTACGGCCAGAGATTGCCCCATGCTTATGAAGACACCCTGCGGGCAGCTCAGAGAGGCCACGCACGGCCACCGGTGGAAGCATATGTTTACGCGAGGTCAACACGGACCGCCAACGGACAGCTCACAGAGGCCCACACATGCATGCACGCACACACCACGCGATGCAGGATGAGGGGCTCACGCCTCGCTCTGAAATCGCCCTGACCGCGAAACGCGACTTAACTTCGCACCTTTGCGGTGGTCCTAGGACTATGCGTCGTATCATTCTGAGCCCAAGATAGACGACGCCTCGGGAGACGCCAACGCGGTAAGGTGCATACTGCATACTGGTAAGATAAGCTAAGACAAGCGCCGAGAGGCGAACCGGGCTTCAGCCAACACAGTGGGTTCCAGCGGGTGGCGCTCGGGGCCTCTGCGGCACGTGGCCATCAGCCACTCTCGCCACCAGCCGGACCCCGAAACAGGCACGGCATTGCCGGTCGTCCGCGGGCGAAGACTGGCGGCGCGCAGAAGGGGGGTAGGGGTAGGGGGGGAGGCTTCTTCGAAGAAAGCTGCTTCTCAGAAGGCGCTGGCCTCACATCTAAACAGAAGGCTCGCACCTTTAAGAGGCAGGGGTCATTCTCAGAAGCCTTTCCCACTCCCCCCATACCCCGTTCCGCACGTGGCCGAGAAGAGAGAGGGAGAAGGAGGAAAAGGAGAAGGATGATGATGATGATGATGATGATGATGATGATGATGATGATGATGATGATGATGCTGATGATGATGATGATGAGGAGGAGGAGGAGGAGGAGGAGGAGGAGGACGAGGGAGGAGGAGGGAGGAGGAGGAGGAGGAGGAGAAGGAGGGAAGGGGAGAGGGGGAGGAGGAAACGGAGGGGGAGGACGAGGAGGAGGAGGAGGAGGAGGAAGGGAAGAGGGAAGAGGAGGAGGAGGAGGAGGAGGAGGAGGAGGAGGAGGAGAAAGAGGCCGCCGCCCACTTCTCTGGAAGCTCGAACTTGCATCCCGCGAAGTAGCCGTCCTCGGGCGCCCGCTCGCGTGCGGGCGAGCGGGGCGGCCGCCCGTCTCCGCGAGCAGGGCATCCCCCCTCGCTCTCTCTCCTGCTCCCTCCCTGCCTGACCTGCGCTGCTCCCCCACCCCATCCATCCCTCCCCCCTCCAATCCCCCCCCCCCCCTCCCGTCCCAATGCCCCCCCCCCCCCCCCTCCCTCCCTCGCCTCTCCCTCCTCTTCTCCCGCCCTCCCCCCCCACCCCGCCCCACCCCCCCCCCGTCCACTCCCCTCTCTCTCGCCTCTCCCTCCTCTTCTCCTGCCCATCCCCCCACCCCTTTCCCCACCCCACCGGAGGAGGAGGAGGAGGAGGAGGAGGAGGAGGAGGAGGGCCCACCCCCCCCCCCCCCACACGGACTCGTTTTTTCTGGGTTCCGACGCTCCAAGACCGTCCACGAGTCTCCCAAAACCGCTCCAAGACGGCCGAAAAGGCCCCCAATACCGCCCCAAGACGGCCCAAGAGACCCCCCAAATCGTCCCAAGACGGCCCAGGAGAGCCCCAAGATGGCCCAGGAGCCGCCCAAGACGGTTCCAGGAGAGCCCCGACAGGGCTTTAAGACTGCCTAAGCGAGCCCAGCGGTCCCCAAGAGGGCCCAGCGAGGCCCCAAGAGGCCCCAGCCTCCCCGGACCCCAGAGGCCCCCAAGATGCCCCAAAATGGCCCTGAGCGCGCCCCAAGACGCTTCCAGGAGAGCCCCACAGGCCTCCGAGAGGCCCCCAAGAGGCCCACTGGAGGCCCTCAGGAGGTCGTCCCCATCATGTTCCCGGAAGGCGGTCCGGGAACATGATTCCGCGCCTTGGAGGAGTATTCTGCGCTTTCCGAGGCGCCTTGCGAGGCGCCCTGGACGACGTACGTATGTTTCTATAGATTGTCCATCTCCTGTGTACACAATCCTACATGTCTTACGGATGTGTCATACATGTATATATATATATATATATACATATATATATATATATATATATATATATATAGCCCTGTGGGCGAGGCCGGGGGCCCCAGGACAGGTGCCTCCACCCCCACTGGCGGGACCGGGGCTCATTTTCCCTGTGTTTTTACAGGGTTTCCGCGTCCTGGGCCTCGGATGCCGCCGCCTCCGACCCCCCATGGGAGGACGGGGCGGCCGGGGAGGTCCAAAATAGTCCAGGAGGGCCTCCAGAGGCTCCCCAGACGGCCCAAGCGGACCCCGAGTCGCCGAAAGACCGCTCCAGGACGCCCAAGATAGGCCCAAGACGGCCCGAGAGGCCCCCCAAGGCACTCCACGACGCTTCAAGACGCCTCTCCAGAGCGCTTCAAGAGGCTCATACGCCTGACGTCGCACTTCGCGCCACGCAAAGCACGCTTCATCTCATGCTCTGCCGCCGCCACCGTGGAAAAAAAACAATTCCTTGGCCCAAGTCTCAAGACGGGAACCGCAATTTCATATGCGACCCACGCGGGTGACCCAGACCAGGGTACCCTCCCCCGGCCCCACTGAGCCCACCTCCATCGCGAGTCAACGACCTTCCTCGTGGTGGTCCTTGCCGTCGTTGTCTTCGTCATCAGCAGTACACGCCTCACCCTCAACCTCCTCTTTACCTCATCCTCATCGTCGCCCTCGACACCATCATCACAGCAATCGCATGACCACTCATGAGCGTATCTCGAATCGAGATCGGCAATGGCGGCGACGGTGGAAACCTTCCGACTGGAGAGGGGAGCTTGAGAACCATGCACACCTGGGCCTGTGCACACGAGCCTGGAGGTAGGGCGCGGACGGGCTGGGGGGAACAGGAGCATGAGGGTAGGAGGCGCGGCGGGAGGAAGGAGGCGGATGAGGAAGTCCAACACCAAGACGGGCGCAGTCGAAGAAGATAGGGAAAACGGCGCGGCGCTCGCCTCTCGGAAACGCTTCCGACCCCGCGCCAGACGTTGCGACAAAGCACGGAAGGGCACGACGCCCAATGGATACAATAGGCCGACTCGCTACTACCAACAGGAACGCCAAGTACACAAAGAAGCCCCTCTTTGGCGGCAAGGTAACGTAAGACCGCTGGGGGCTAGGGAGGGGCCTGAGGGCAAAAGGGACAACGCGCCCCTGAACACCTAAGGCCGAAGGGCCAAGGGGCCTAAGGGCCAAGTGGAGGGCCCGAAGGGCCTGAGGGCGAAGGGGCCTGAGGCCTAAGGGCTAGCAACCTAGTTGCCCCCCATGTGGAGGGGTCTCGGGCCTAAGGGACAACGAGCCCCTCAACCCCGAACTTGAGCACGGGCCGACCGCCCAAGTTACCTCATAGACCGTACCACAAGGTGATCTCAAAAGAAGGACCCCTGATAACACAAGCAGTGCTCTTATAGAACAGATAAGACGAAGCCAAGACGAGGATCAATTCGGGTGAGGATCAATCGAAAATCTCTTAGAACCCGCGGCTCCGAGAGGTTGTCTCGAACGCCGCAGCCTTCTCAGAGCGTTCCAGAACGCACTGAGAGCGCTCTGGATCGCTCTGGCACGGATTCATCTCCGCCCGGGCCCCGTCCGAACAGAGGCGACGTGTTGAGGCCAGACTGCCTTAGCAAGAGAGGCCTTCATCGCTCCCTGCCACCAGCTTCACCGACCAGCCATGACTGGGGGAGCTGTGGTCCTTACCCCCCTGGGGGGACCCATCGCATCGACGATCTCTCGAGAGGGGTGGCGAAATCGATGGGCCCCCCAGAAAGGGGCAAGGACCACAGCTCTCCCCGTTGTGGCTGGCCTGGCTCATTACCAGCGCCAGGCACCAGAGCACGGGCGGCGCAGCACAGCAACCACGACCCGGAACCCTCGACCTCGACATCCCTCGGACTGACCCAACAGGGGGTCCAGCTGCAAGGGGTGGCGCAACATCTGGGGCAATTGTACTGCACATGTGTCGCGCTGGAGAACAGTATTCTTGTGAGGCTGTGTTCGCTGGTCTGTAGTTGTTGCCCCACGGGGTGTCGCAGTGGGTGCCCATGGGGTACTATCGAAGACTCTGCCGGAGAATATGCCATCTGACGCAAGATGTGACAGTGACGTTTTTCCAGTACACGTGCGCACAAGTATCTCGATCTTGAGCCAAAATGGGTACGAACTTTGCCTGGCCCATTCGCTCCCTCTCCCTGCTCATGCTACTGCTGTGAATGCGAAAGAGCCTAGGGATCTGTAAACAGCGCAATGTGCACAGCACTGCCCTGACACGCTCTTGAAAAGTACAACGCATTTTGTCCCACCTATTTGCTCTGAAAACCTAGCTGTAGATATCGAAGGTGGCCGGCCGGGTAAACGTCACCACATTCAGGGAGGAGGAACTACAAATACATATATACTGCGTGTGTAGTGTACGCACCAACGACTGTACATCAGGCTTTCAAGAAACAATGGTTAACTCAAGATTTGCACATACTACCATCATGCTACGTTCAGTGGTACGCACTCCCCCTGCCCTGGGGCACTCAGTACCGCTGTCGGCCACGCTGGTGGACTCGAGGCTTGCCTCCCCGACGTGTCTTTTTCTTCTTTTTCGGGGGCTCCTCCGTCTGCTCTGGCTGTTCGCCGTCGCCGCGTCCTTCACGTTGAGAGGGTTCGACGTCTTCTGGCTCGTCTCCTGGCTCGTCTTCTGGCGGGGGCTCAAGGCAGTCCTCTGCCGGGCCAGGAACTGAGGACGATGAGCGCCATGGGAAAACATCGCCCAGATCGTACATCTCGTCCAGGGCGCCCCACCACTCTGGCTCCCTCCCGTCGTACTTCTTGTAGAG